AGTTGTATGAGCCCCCAATAAAATGACTTTAAAAAAAAAAAGATTTATAACCTCAGAAACTGTAGAAAATAGTTCGAGACTGTCCTACAAGGTTGCCATGAATGGTAATGGACTCAATAAATACGTTTCATTTGGGATTTGATAGTCTCTTAGGTTTGCAAGAGCATGGGGAAAAAGTGTGAAATATTGTGAGGATGACATTATGGGGCACAAATCGAGTATACACTGTTGTAAAAATGACACAAACAAGCTTGCTGGGCTCAAGGTTGCCACAAACCTTCCACTTCTTTTTAAAAAGAGCATTGAGCCGAGGGATGCCTGTACAATCCTAATGTGTATTAGTAGTGATACCAATCTCCGTCATTCTTACCCTAACATTTAACAGTGTTGGCGTAGGTACCGTCTCTGGCTCTTGTTTAACAGGAAGTGCCGCTTCAGTCTCTAGTCCTAGTTCTAATGCAAGTGGCACTGACTGCAGAGAAAACAGCAGAGATAGAAATAAAGAATGACGGTGGTGAGTGGTTTTAGAAAGATTTGCGTGAAATCTTATTAAAACAACAAATGTCAAGCCTTATAAGCAAACTGAATGTAAAGTCACTGAGTATAAAGTAACGGTCTTTACAAACTTAAAATGTTGACAAGCAGTAACGCCCATGTCAGAGTCTGATTTTTTTGCTTTCAGAGAATATGTATATTGAAACCACAGAAGACTGTCCCCACAAAGTAAAAAGACAGCTAGTGAGGAGATCAGCTAGGATCCAGTTAAGAACCAACGCTGCACAAGCCAGCTTTTACGTAGACCTATAGAACAATATTGACGCAGAAAAATAGCATCTAGATTTCATCACATATATTTTCTCACCTCATGAAAGAAGACAAATCCGCAAAGTAAAAATTACATTCATGCAAATACTTGAAATTAAGGCTTAGTAAACCTCCATTTCTGTATGTGAAAATTACAAATCGAGAAAAGGTTACTCTCTACAGGGACTGTGGTAAACACTTACCTGATGAACTGGAGGTATAGGCGTTGGAGTGACAAGGCCTGCATCGCCACCATCGATGTCACAGAGGTCATGTGGACTAATACCACTCTCACTCAAAGCAGCAAGCAGTAAATCTTGCCCCGGTTCCATCTACAGAGCAAAGTATAAACATTAATATATAAAACTTACAATGTCTCACATTAGCTCTCTTCTAAACAGAAACTAACATATTCTCCTAGACCCATTTATTCAGAAGCTGCTATGTGCTAACCCAAAGGGGAGGAGTCACAGTAAAATGGATGTAAGAGGGAGCACCAGTCTACAAAGTATTATGAGGACAGAGAAAGAAATGCTACACGTGGCCTATGCAGAGAATCCAAAAATGACAAAAGCATGAAGTAGACCAGGGTCCTCTGGACAAATGCAACCTTATGGATATGAATAAAGTTGGCACTCTTATAAGAACTTCATTTAAGTTATTCAACATGGCAGAAGTCTGAGGATCAGATAGGAAAA